TTGAGTATCAACAAAGGGCATGTTGTCGAGAAGAAGTTATTGAGCAAAGAGGATGCAACATTCAGTCAATCTAGGGTAGTTACGTCGAGATTCAAAAAATCTCTAGAAGCCTTTTGGTCAGGAATATTATCTTAAAAGCATGCAGTCTAGGGAAAGTTGTGAAAGTTATCTTGATCAGCGCGACAAACTTGGGACACCAAAGTTGTTTCCAATGCTATTTCCAAATTTTTGTCAAGACAATTACTATGTTCTCCCCTAAGCCGAGGATCTTCCTCAAGCAGGACTGTTTCTCATGATCTTCCTTGTAGATGTGTGCACGGTTTCCTTTACATTAGTTGACCAGTTAGTGGGTTTCTGTCAGGCTGTGCTGTGGTGTTGGGTTTGTAATCCCATATTCCCCAGTTAAATCTTGATTCAGATTTCTCCAGTTGAGTGTGATTCCTTTCCACAGCCGAGTGGTGATCAAGCAAAGATTGCAAAGTTATGAAGCATGCTTAGTTGTTGGATTCTTTCTCCCTTTGTGTTGAGAAGCGATGTAGAATCTCTTGTAGAGCATTACTCCCTCCGGTTATGACATTGTTGTTTTTGTGTGCCTCCAAGTAGCCAGACAAGCGCAGTATATCTTCTAAGCAGTGTTGAAACAACTGCCAACTTTTTGGGTTTTCTCTCACTGTGTGTCGAGTTTGGTTTAAAATCCCTAGAATTTTTTACCTCTTGCTGTGATGTTAACTTCTTTATTATCTAGATGAATCATGGATGATGCTTCCCTCTAAAGTTATTATCCCATGAAGTTTCATGATTTCTCCCCAGAGAAGTTTGCACAATTGTTATTCTTGATATTGAAGAATGTATTTGGGCTCCCTTCGGTGTGTGCGATTTCTTTTCCCCAATAAAGTCAGCATGACATCCCAAGTTGAAGTCTCGATGATATGGTTTTCATCTTCTCGAGTGAAGTCAGTATTGGAATCTCCAGTTGAAGTCTAGACGATGAGGCATTGTCTTCCCCAATCGAAGCCAGTGTGACATTCCCTGGCGAAACCTGGAGGAGGATGTTACATCTCTACAGCCGTTTTGGTTCATTGCGATCAGACTGTGTTTTGATTATTCTTTAAGCCATGTTCTTCCCAGTGAAGTTAAGCCGTGAAGTAGGACTTTGTCTCCTCAGTGGGTGCTTACTCTCTTATTGAATCTTCATCCTAGATGTGGTTTAGCCGAATGTTGTCTTTACCCAATTTGGTTTTGTCTGGTTATCCCCAGTGCAGTATGTCTGTTTTGTCAGCATATGCATGATAAGATTCATACACACATACATCATGTATAGCTGAATTAAAGTTCATTGCTCATTTGCATTCATTGATGTTTTTGTTTGCATATTATCCTCTTTGCAGAGTTGTGTTACTATCTCTCCAATAAAGTGTCAACTTTAAGCAAAAGGTGTATATCCTTTTAATTTTCTTATTAAGTTATCCCTCATGGAAGAATTTTGCTTTAGCTTTCTTATCCAACTCATTACCTGGTTGGAAATTGATCCCCATTTGAGTTTACTCCTCATTGTGTGGTGTCTGGGTTGACTGTTTCACTTCATTTTGTTCCTAGTTTTAGTTTTGGTCTCCAACATCGATGTTATTTTGATCCTCTATAGGCCGCGAGCCCTGGATTAAGAGTGTGCATTTATTTTGCACATGAAGACTTTATCACCTCAACAGGAATGTATTGGCATTTCCCCAGAAAGCCAAGATTCATTTCCTAGTAGCGTTATCCCAATCCTCTTTGTAAAAAAACAAGTGGCGGTCTCTTTATTTGAGCAACCTGTACTTCCCTAGTAAGTCTGTTAGTTCTCAGAGAAGATTATTTTAATGTACTCCGATGAATGGTAGTCTCGTCATTATGGATGATAGTTCGTGTTGAGATGTTTTACTTCGATGAAAGGTAGTCTCGTTATTATGGGAGATAGTTCGTTGTTGATATGTTTACTCCAATAATGGTAGTCTCGTCATTATGGGAGATAGTTCATTGTTGAGATGTTTTACTCTGATTAATGGTAGTCTCATCATTATGGGAGATAGTTCATTATTTAGATGTTTACTCCAATGAATGGTAGTCTTGTCATTATGGGAGATAGTTCGTTGTTGAGATGTTTTACTCTAATGAATAGTAGTCTTGCCATTATGGGAGGTAGTTTGTTGTTGAGATGTTTACTCTGATGGATGGTAGTCTCTTCATTATGGGAGATAGTTCGTTGTCGAGGTTTTACTCCGATGGATGGTAGTCTCTTTGTTATGAGAGATAGTTCGTTGTTGAGGTTTTACTCCGATGGATGGTAGTTACTTCGTTATGGGAGATAGTTCTTTATTGAGGTTTTACTCTGATGGATGGTAGTCTCTTTGTTATGGGAGATAGTTCACTGTTGAGGATTGATGTACTCTGATGGATGATAGTCTTTTCGTTATGGGAGATAGTTTGTTGTTGATTTTTTACTCCGATGGATGATAGTCTCTTTGTTATGGAAGATAGTTCATTGTTGAGGATTGATGTACTCTGATGGATGGTAGTCTCTTTGTTATGGGAGATAGTTCTTTGTTGATATTGGTTGTACTTCAATGATAAAGACACTTCGTTGAAAGATTCTTACAATAGTTTATTACATTTCCAGGTGAAACATCTTGGTTAAAAAAGAAACTAAGACCAGTTCGTGGCTTATGACCAGGATCGTGGGGAGGTTTATCAAAAGAAACTAAGACCAGTTCCTGGCTTATGACCAGGATTGTGGAGAGGTTTATTAGAAGAAATTGTTACCATTCTTGGCGAAATCCAGAAGTTGTTAAAGTTTATTAATCTTTTCAGGTGGAATACCTTGGTAAAAGAAGGAGTTAAGACCCGTTCTACGTAGAACGCCATAATTTTGGGAAACTCGTTATTGTTAATGCAGATCCTACCTTCAATAAAAGTTGGTAGCTCACCTTCACTAAACGTTGGTGTACCTGTTATCTTACCTTCAGTAAAAGTTGGTGTTTTCTCTCTACCTTTAGTATAAGTTAGTGTATTATATGTTTCTCTACCTTCAGTGGAAGTTGGTAGTTCACCTTCAGTAAACGTTGGTGCATATTCTATTTCTTTACCTTCAATAAAAGTCGATATTGTTCTATTTTTTCTACCTTCATTCCTGAGTTGGTAATTCACCATTATTTGTTAGTCGATATTCACCCTTTTCTCCTCATTGGACTTTACCCCAATGGAATTGATTTGTTCCCAGCCATAAGCGCTGATGTCAAAAACTTTGTTCCCAACCATAAGTGATGATGTCAAATCTTTGTTACCAGTCATAAGTACTGATGTCAATCACTTGTTTACTAGTCTCGATGTCGATGTTTACCATCATCTCTGAGTCAATATTGTCTTACCGTTTCTATTTGCGTCCTTTGGATTAGTAGTTGTCGATCCCTTGTGAGTTGATGTTACTCTCTTTTTGCTATCTCCTCTATGAGTGGATAGTTCATAGTTATCAATTAATCGGTGTTATCCATTACTTTTTCCTTATTTTATTGAGTTGATGTTACTTTGTCTCCTCACCGGACTTTATCTCAATAGAGTTGAGTCCTCTTTTCCCAAGCAGAGTTGATTTGTCTCCAAGAGATTCAAATTTCTATCCCTAGAGTCGTGTTGTACACTAATGATTTATTTTCCTGGTTGAACTTTTTTTTAGTCTATTAATTTTATTTTTTCTTCCCCAGTGTGTCTTGTTCACCTGCATGAAGTTTATATTTTACATTCTTAATCTTAAGCATCACATGGCATCTTAGGGCCAAAAATAGGGTTTGTTTTGTATTTAAGTATCTTCAATCATGTTGAAACGAAGACTTTAACCTTCGTATCTCCGGATAGAGGACACTAAAATAAGGGCAGTTGTTATACCCTAATTTTTGTCCTTAAGATCCCATGTCATCTACAAGAATCACAAATATTTTTTGGCAAATTTCCTCAAGATACAAGTTTTTTCTTCATTAGACTTTCTCCAAGGAACCAGTGCATTAAGATTTGACTTGTGTACTTAAGACTTTATCATGTCTTTATTGAGAATGTATTTGAGCTAGGGTTTTATTCCTCTCAACATCTCAAGTCACTTTTGCCTCAATGTGCACCCAAAGCCAAATAATTATGAGTTTCTTCTATGATTGTGCATGAGCATTGGTGTTGGTCATTCAACAACGATTCTTATTTTGACTTGAGTTTCTCACCAAGGCTACAAGGATCATCATCCTATCTTTATTGGAAGTTCATCATCAACATTTAGGGTCTCTCCTAATAGCTTCCTCTACAAGACTTTTCTTTCAAGAATTTTAGAGGCTTTAATAAAGGGATTTATTTCTTAAGATATTACTTGTCAAGTGATTAAAGATTGCTTTAAGTTTTCATCAAGTCAAGATATGTTTTGTTGATTGGGATATGGGTTGGGATATGGGTTAGGAGCTCATTTATGTCTCATTTTCAAAAGAAACTTGGTTGCTTCTGGAATTTGTGATTCAATTTGAGACTAGGTTTCACCAGTCGGATGACATGTATTTGTTTCATGCTCTCATGGAATATTGACGCTAGAATGCACACGGGCTATGGTGCATATTTTTTTCTATAATTAATTCAAGCTAGAAGAAGTTCATCATTCTATTATGTTTTAAAAGAACATTTAAAAAGAAAATTACATTACAGAAAATATAGATCATCTCAATCAGAAGAATCCGAATTGGCTGTCACTGAAACACCGATGCCGCAAGTAAAGTCATCTGGAGTTCTTGGAGATGATGTGTTTCAAAGCTTTAATGTTGGTGAGCTTTATGAATCTCTTATAGCTATACACGTGAATCATTAAGCAAAAACTTTAACAGATTCAATCTCTAGTGGACAAGAAGATATGATTACACTAGATCCTGGATTAAGTAATTCAAAGCTTGTAGTTCTACAGATTTCAAATAAAAAATGAGGAACAACCGAGTCCAATCTCAATTTTAGAATCTACATTTGAAGAATACAGTACAGATCTCGGGTCTTTGTAATGCACGAAAGGTGGTCCGTATGGAATTGCTGGAGCCTCTGAAGTCGAATTTAATTGACAAATTGCCCTGCATAAATAAGACCAATAAAAGAGCAAGCGGAATCGATTCACTATGAATAAAACCAAGCATATCGTTGTTAACTGGCGGAGGAAAAGAAAAATTCAGTAAAACCTGCATTCAACCAAACAAACAGTTCATAATCCATTCAAATAAGCCAGCCCTGCACTTGTGAGTTAACATCGCCAATAGTTTTCACCAATCGACAATTATCAGAGGAGTCTCGTGTATCTTGTGACATTCTAAATCATGCCCTGCTGCAACTTTTTCAAACCATGTGCAACCCTGCATTAGTGTAGAATTAGTTCAGGAAATTCAAAGAAATAACAATTCAAAATCAAACTCAAACGGAAAACCAGTTTAGCATAAAATAGAAAAACTCCAATCTCATTTCAATTATGACTAGCAACTAATTGAAAAAACAGTTACAGCAAAATTTGACAGCTCATCTTAACTACCTTAAACCATCTCAACTAACTTTCAACTACCTATAATAATCCTCTAACCGATTCATATAGGAGGATCCAATAACCAGCTCCTAAACTCCCTATTTTCTAAACTAACTCTTATCAGTTTCAAACTCCTCCATCAATCTGTAACCGAAATTTAGAAGCCAAGGGTTGAAATCTCATTACCTCTAACAAACTTGCAGCAAGTATATAATAGAATATCTCTCTCTCTCAGATGCAGGGAGGACGATTCATTATGAAAAATCACTAGAAAATTTCACTTTTCTCTCTCTGAAACCTTTGAACCGTGATCACGATAACCTTCCTTCTTGAATCTTCTTCAACCTTCATTCACCAAATCTCAAAGCTTCAACAATCTGTAATCGTCAATCTCTTCCTGCATCAACATCATAGCTATTCAAAATCATCAATCTTCAATCATAATAGCACTTCACATTCAAACAACCATAACGATTCAGAAATCGCACAAGAAGTAGAAGAGGAGAATCAAAAGCAAAAACGTGAAAACTAAAGTATATCTTTACCTCTAGTTTTCTCGATTCCGATGCCGTTTCGAGAAAAGCGTTTCCAATTGGTGATTCTTCTTTATCCATCCATCAATAATTTCAGTTTTGGAGATCATTGTTGATTCCACGGAGAGGTTTGCAAAACCAGATAAAATACGAAAGGGAAATGAGAAAAGTAAATCAGAACTGAGACAAATTGATGGAGAAGAGGCTGAAGTGTTTTAGACGGAGGTGAGCACCATTGAAGGTCAAGAATGGAGAAAGGTGAACGCCACCGAAGTTGATTTGAGGTCCGCGATTGATTCTAAGAGGATAATTCTCGATGGGATTCATGAATAGAAGAGGGAGTTCGATCATGAACAGTTTCCCTGTGGCAAGTTAAGCTGGAGGAGAGATCGGAAGATTCCCTCTGCGGAAGAGAGAAGGTGAGGACGTCGCATCTCTGTTCACAAGGAATTAGGATCGTCACAATAGATTAACCCCATCTCCTTCTTATCAAAATGCCCCGTTTCAAAATTTCTTGTTTTGTTATTAATTTTCCATATTATTTTAATTGAAAATTCTGGAAAAAAAAAGTGGTGAAGGTTGTGCTATTGGATATGGCCGAACTCCATGCTCTCCTCAGGCGCGTTTTCGCTTGTTTTGCAGCCTGAAGATTATTCAGTAAAAAGGCTTTTCATGGATGTTTCATTTTGGGCCTTGAAAAAAATTCTGCACTACACCCCTGGATTCCAATATAGCACCCTTGACTTTCTAATTTCTTTGGCTTTAAATTTTGTTTTTAGTTTAATTATCTTTTTTTAATAAAAATAGTAATAGAACACATGATAGAAACAATAAGAAATAGTAGAATATAATATAACTTTTCTAAGATTTCCTTTTATTTAGAATTTTTGTTAGAATTTTCTATTATTGTTTATATTCAGTAAACATTTTTTGTCTCCAAAATCTGGTGATTCACTTGTACTTGTCAAGGTTCGAGTATTATGCAGGTTTCTTGCGGAATATGTGGATATGCTTGAATTTTCGATTGTGATTTATTTTCACGACAATGATGCTTCAACACTTATTCTGAGTATTCAATCTTTGACTATTTGTTTGTTGATGCTAGCTCGCGCGAAGTATTCCAAATTTCTTTGCTTTGGTTGCGCTTTTTATAGACATTATTATTCATTTGGTATTATACTACTTCCAGTTTATCTTTCTGTATTTTTTACCGCTTTCTAGATATCATGAGAAGTAGGAAATAAAGAGCGTGCGTTCGAAGTCGCTGTTTAAAGACCTGTAGCAGGCATCCCACACCTATTTGCCACTTGTGTTTATGCTTGTGGTTGCCTCTTTTGTTGATGATCGATGATGTCACTCAATTAGAATTGAGATAACGACTTCGATCTTTGCATGCGCCCCATAGGATTTCATGGCTTTATTCTTTTGTTGATCGATGATGTCACTCAATTGGAATTGAGATAACAACTTCGGCCTTGTTGCATGTTCCCTATAGGATAGTTATCTTCGCCCTCAGGTTCTCGGCATAATAACATTAAGTAGGTGTTTCCATTTTGTTAATCCGAACTTTATGACCATCTTTGTATGATAATATTAGGATTAGAATTAGACTAGTTTCCCTTAGACTTTTTCTCCTCTCTTTGCATATTTGCATTAAAACTAAAACTTGCTTTTTCTATAAATAAAAAATTCACAAAATACTCTAATGTTTCTAACCCATTTTTAGAGGTAAAAAATACAAATCAATTCAAATTTCTTTTGCCTCTTGGCTCTTCTCTTTAAAACCTTTTTCAGGTAAGAACACATTAATTCCTTTTTGTGTTAACGTATGAGTCTCCAAAGGTCGAGCTGCGGCAGAATGTGAAATTAATATTATTCATTAAAAAAATACAAATAAATAGAAATTTGTGAGCCGAACTACGACACTCTGATTCCCTAAAAGGGATACATAGGCATTTGGTCACGGGGCTCAGTCGAGCAAAAATTTGTATATATTTCCTTCTTTTCCTCGTGTTTTCTTTGCATGCATTCCCTCTTTACATTTTTCTTTTAGCTCTTAAGCATTAGATTAAACACACCCTTTGATTAGAACAACAAGAGTGGATCCCGTAGAATACTACGGATGTGAGGGGGTGCTAATACCTTCTTCTTGCATAATCGACTCTCGTACCCGATCTCTCGGTTGTAAGACCTTGATTTCTCCATTCAGGTTTTTATTTAAAGGTTTTCCTTTCCCTTTATGTGGGATAAATAAAAACTCGGTGGCGACTTCATTGATTTTACCGCTATAGGTGCAAATGCCAAAACTGTCAGAGTAGTACTTGATTGTCAATGCTGCATCACCGTATAATGTCATTATCGGGAGACCTTCCTTCAATTCCCTAAAGGCCGCACTATCCATCTTGTATCTCACCATGAAATATCCTCTGGGGGACGTGTCGTACCCCACATTTCCCCTACCTTTATGATCGTGCTTTCAAGATTAAAATAAAAGAGGATGTTTTAATGGTCCAGTAATATCTGATGACCCGTTTTTAAGAATCCAAGTCAACCAGGGGGTGTACTTTAATTCAAGAGAGTGAGGCTTTCTAAATCAGAAAGATCCATGTATCCGTAGGCATATTTACGAAGTATGTTGGTCAATGGCCCATGAGATTCGAGTATGGAAAGTTATTTCAGAAAAATTATTAAGTTCTTACTTATATAGTCCATTTAAGTGTTATTGGTGTTAGTAAAAAGAGGATGTAAAAACTTCAATTCAAAAGTCCATTAGAATAAAAGGCCCATTAAATTTTTTAGTCAGGCCATTTGTCCTTTTTTGTTTTTTGTTGTCTCATTTTCAAGAGAAAAAAACATTATCCTTAAACTTCTTCTATTCATGATTATTTCTTTAAAAATATTTTTTTTTCATTAAATATTCTATTAGTTGTTAAGAGTTTTTAATATTTGAAAAGAATTTGTTTCATAACAGACCTGTTAGGCCCAATCCATATAAATAAAAAGCGTTTTAGGAAAAATGGTTGTTAGGCAGAAAAAGATTATTGAAGCCCAAATTTGTTATTCAATACGGGACAAAAAAATGTTTTTGCAAATACAGTCCAAAAGCTCAATTCGAGTGAATAATGGACAAGCCCAAGTTGAATTAGAAACGGGTACTGTATCAATTACAAAAGATTGTGCACATTTTTTAGCCACTAACGGATACTGTAGCGATTTACCAGAAGATGCGCATGTTTTCTCGTTATTTCTATTACTGTACAAATCAAAATATTTTTCCCAGATTTTGTTCAAAAAAACTAAAATAATATCAAATTAAATATGAAATTAAATCTTAATGACAGTAAAAAAAAACTAAAATCAATATTACAGAACCAATCATATATTACAGAATCATAATCAAATCAATTACAATAAAACTTACAATCCCTAATTTTGTTCAAAGTCCTAAATCTAATCAATTTATAACAGTAATTTGCAAAACCTAAAATCAACCCTATAAATACAAGTATGGAATACAGAAACAAAGGGAGGAATTTCGAAGAACCGAAACAAGGAGGCTCGAGAAGAAGAGCGTGCAAAAGATAAACCCAATTTGTTGAAGAACGAAGAGGACATCGATTAGGGTTTCAACATCTGAAACCCTAATCGCATCGTTGCCAAGCCGTCGTAGCCGTTGTTGAACATTATCTCCGGATCGTCGTCTTCACACCATCACAGAACCTGCAAATAAAAGTGAGAAGAGGGGTTAGTAGATCAGACAGAAGCTTAGAAGTCTTGAATCGAAATAGAGAAAGGGGTAAAAACTCATCTCTCTCTTTTATGGTTCTTGTATTTGGGGTTTGATGGGTAGTTGTAATCAAAGGGTATCGGGTTGTGTTTAGCGCGCCGCCGCGGAAAGCTTAGGGGTAGGGTTTGAGAAGATAGAGGAACGGGTTGTGTGAAGGAGAGAGGAAACGATACTGTAAACAAAATGAAAATAAAATGTTCAACAAAGTTTTGTATTCAGTAATGATCCAATGTCAGCGTGTTCACCATAATAACATGCACCTTTTACTTTTATCCGTTTGATCATCAGTGGACGGCCGTGAGGCCAAGTCCACCATAGGCCCATGCGCCCTTGCAACACACAATCACTCAA